TGATAGGAGAAACTAACATTTTTTAATAATACAGATTTTATTAACTTTGCCAAATAAAAATATGTATCAAGAAATACACTCATAGAAATAAACATTTTTGGAGAACTTCCAAAATAATGCAAAATTAGAATACTTTCTTTTAAACATTTGAAAACATGTAATCAAATGAAAAATAAAGCTAATCTACACATAATTCAAATTATATATTCATGAAAAATAATCTTAAACTACTGTAAAGATACATATTGAAAATAGGTTATAATTTTTGACTTAATATCTGTATGAGTAAGCTAATTATTGCTAACATCCAACAAGTATGCTATAGTTTATATTACTGAAAAAGGAGTTTACTTAAATCAAATAGTAAATTATACAACTCTTCCTCTGGGTGAATTTCTGTGTCCCTCCCCGCTCAACTCAAGTTGAAATCTCAAACCCCAATATGATGGTGTTTGGAGATGGGGCATTTGGAAGGTAGCTAGCTAGGTCATGGAGACTGGAGCTTGACAAGAGCGGGTGTCCTTTCTCTCTGCTCCTTACCATATGAGGACAAAATAAGAAGACAGCCACTACAAACCAGGAAGAAGGCCTTTATCCTAACCCAACCATCTTGATCTCAGACTTTTCGGCCTCCAGAACTGTGAGAAATCAATTTCTGCTGTTTAAGTCATCCAATCTATGGTAATTTGTTAGAGCAGCTCAAACTGACTAAGACAACTCTTGTAGCACTTTTAAAAACATTTATTACTAAACCCACTGGTTTCCACAAGCATGTTCCTCAACTGGGGGCTATTTTTCCTGTTACATCTTAACCTCTGAATCAAAGACAACCAAGAAAACAACTGGTAAAAAAATATGTATTTTTACATATTTATCTTACATATTTTATGCATACAGGTTACAATATCTCTTCTTTCTTTTTTTTGGAGGGAGGCAGTACTGGGGCTTGAACTCAGGCCCTCAAGCCTATTAGGCAGGCGCTCTACCACTTGAGTCATTCTGCCAGCCAGCATGTGTCATTTTGGATGAAAAGTATACCTGACATCTGACAAAGGATGGCTTACTCTTTCATAAACACTGAGCTAGTCAAAGAAATGCCTTTTCAAACAATTAGCAAAATGCTAATCTCTAGATTACTTGCAATACCCAATGCAATGTAAATAGTTTTAAAACTTTATTTAGGAATGACAAGAATAAAAAGTCCATGCAAGTTCAACATAGATGCAATTTTTTTAAAAAATATTTTTGATCCAAGATTGATTGAATTTGTGGATATGGAGGGCCAATGGTACATAAAAACTAAACAGCTATTGAATGTAAGAAAGAATAAACAACATAGCAAATGTCATTTAATATAAGCATATACATAAATCAAATTTGACAGATCTGATATAATAAAATCTGGTAATTAAATGGTGATCAAAAGTTTTTTACTTCTTTGTTTTTTAAAATCTTTTCAGATTTTATCCTCTATTGGGGATGTCAGCAGAGAACATAGGAGAAAAAACTAAGTCTTAGAGGTTTTGGCATGAACTGTAAGCAGAGGAGCCCATCCTGAAAGAATAAGCAGGTCCCCAGTCTGTGCATATGATAACATGGGGTGACAGGGGTATGGTGAATGAGAGGTAGTTCCCAAGGGCAGCCCAGCCCTTGAATCTCAAAAGTCAGATCTCTATATACTCTAAAGTAGTTGTTTTTTCCTTTGGCCCAGTGCTTGCATTTTAGTCTATTTTTTTTTTTTTTTTTGTGCAAGTCAACCTACCACTTGTAGGTTTAGATTAAAGAAAATTACATAGGGGGAGGGGCAAAAAAAGATTACACAAAACTTAAAATTTAGTAAGTTTTGTTATCCGTTATGTCAGATCGTTGAGTAGGATACATGTTCTAAAAGTTTAAATACAGTAGGGTACAGATCTGACTTTATATAAACTGTCAAACTGAACACAGGAAACTGTCAAACTAAGTGTCAAACTAGTTTGACTAAGTGTCAAACTAAATAAACACATAGAAATCAAGAACAAATGAATTTGAAATTCTAAGAAAAAAGTTTCTTCATTTTTAGCATTAATAACAGTGTTAATAGCCATTTAATGAGAGTCATGATTTCCTAGACACTACATAAATTCTCCCTGAGCCACCCAAAAACAGCCTCAGAGGCTAAATGGCTGACAAACATTACACATGTAAAAAGCAATGGGAACGGGATTGGAACCCAGGTCTCCATGGCTCCAAATGTTGAAATGTAATTCATTCCTAGGCTAACAGTATGTAATGCTGAAATATTAATCGGAATTTCTAGAAGCCTCTTTGCTTCTTTAAACTGCTGAGGACAAGCAGACCAGTGTCTTGATCACTTTGTGTCTTCATCACCTTCCCAGCACTAAAACAATCATTCTTTGAAGATTACTATGCCTCTATGTCTGAAACCTATGCTTTGTGAAGTCTATGTACTAGAGTCAACTTTGATACTTCTATAGTTAACTGGCTTGAATATTATACAACAGTAGCATCCTTATATGAACGTCTAGATGAGTAATTTTCCAGAAGGGTTCCAACTACTCTCCTCTCAATGTTACTTAGAAGTAACCTCCATGGAAAGGCTGAAAAGCCAAGGATACACATATTTTGAGTATTAAATGCTCAGAAGCTAGCCTATAAAATAAATAAAGCAATGGGTTAAACAGAACTCTCCAAATGTTGGATTGAATGCCAGGTGGTAAAACGAATTTCAAGCATGAATTCCATGCTGGTGAAGGAAAAAAGAATTTCAATTTAGTAAAAATTCTGTTCCAGTAGCTCTGAAAAATTTCATGGCTCATCTGCATTCTCTTAAAGCTTCTTCACTGATGGTACTTGTTTACAAAAGACTAAGAGCCAATTTTAATACAGGAATTCTTCAATTATATCTGCTTAGGACAATTATATGTGGCTCCTTGTCCTGGCATCAACTAATTAGCATTAAAGATCAAAGGTTTTTGCATGATTCCAGAATACAAGCTTATTGGATTCTATGTCATGGAACCACAAAAAGAATTTGGTAAGTCAACTTTCACTGAATTTATTTATACCTGTCATTTCCTTTGGGGCAAATTCACTTTATAGGCTGCTGGCAAAATAAGAGACTCAAACTGGTTGGCTTTTATTGCTGGCTGTTTACTCTTAACAGCAGCTAGGGAGCTACTCAAAAGAGAGCTTAATCATCTTAAACCAAAGGCATTTCTAAAGCCAACTGACAAGAAAGAGATTAACTGCTGTTATGATGTTGCTCCTGATACCAGAAATTAGAAAATCTAGATAAATTATGACAGGGAGAAGACTGCAAAAGAAAAGAGCTAGTAGCTACTTTTTGTTGTTCACTAACTTCCTCACCTTCCTCCTTCATTTGTTACTCATTCTCTTATATTAAAACTGTTTTATTAGCCAGGCACAGTGGCTCACACCTGTAATCCTAAAATCAGGAGGATCAAGGTTTGAGGTCAGCCTGGGCAAACAGTTCTCCAGACCCCATCTCCAAAAAAAACCTGAGCAAAATAGACTGGACACGTGGCTCAAGTAGTAGAGTGCTTACTTTGCAAGCAAGAAGCCCTGAGTTAAAAACTCAGTCTTAACAACAACAGTTTTATTATTAACACCAATGAAAATGCTGTGAGCAGGTTGAATAACAGCTGCATGTGTTCACAGAATCACAGGATCTCAGGGCCAGAAGGAGGCTCCAAAGGCAATTTAATGCAACTATTAAATCTCAGGAATATGTTTCTTTTACTGTATGTTGGCTAAGTGGCCAATACATGAAACATTTTCTGCCCACTGCATCTTTGGATGAATCTTAGAAATGTGTTACTCAATAAACTGAAGTCTTGTTGCATCTCTAAGAGTCATAACAAACAAATACAGGGCAAAGTACGGTGGTGCTAAAAAGGCTAAAGCAGGAGGATCATGAGTTCAAGACTGGCCTGGACTACATACCAAGATCCTGCCTCCCAAAACCACTCCCCCTCAAAAAAAAATCCAAAGTTCTCTTGATATGAAGTTCTATGAACATATAAAGAGAGTGCCTCTCTTCTCCAGCTATCTCTATTTCTTCAAATGTTCCTATTATGAAATTCTACTGAGTCCTCTATGTTGGGTAAGCTATAAAAAAAATTTAGTTTGAATGCAAATTGATACTAATTAATTGAACAATATTTAAAACTTTGAGTTACTAAACATATTGGATACCAACTTGAACTCTGAAGAGTTTGTGTTAGGCAGGCACCGGTGGCTCATGCCTATAATCCTAGTTACTCAGGAAGCAGAGGATCAGGAGGATCGAGGTTCAAAGCTAGTCCCAGGCAAAGAGTTCACAAAATCCTATCTTAACCCATCACAAAAAAGGGCTGGCGGAGTGACTCAAGCAGTCAGAGTGACTGCCTAGCAGGCATGAAACCCTGAGCTCAAACCCCAGTGCCACCAAAAACAAAGAAAAAGTTCATGTGTAAGTATACAAAATCTCCTCAAAAGCATACATACGTCTACCAAAAGTAATACATTTAGACACAACACAACTTTTAATATTAAATAATGAATTATTCTTAACTGTTCCTAATGTATAACTGTCACTATGTTAAGTGCTAACCTAAAATTTCAATTAACATTTCAAATACCTTTCTACCAAGTTATGGAAAACAGGAACAATCCATACATTCTCAAGTTATACACACGACGGTTACTTTTCTATAACCGAGAACTTTCGTTCAAACTCAAACAACAACAAAAAAATCAAATAAAAACTCCAAATTTTTCAGAAACGGAGTTTTAAAGGTTTAGGCATATGATTTCAGTATAGTTCTATAACTGATTGAAATCTATTTCAAGATCTTCACTTTTGGTACCAATAGGAGATTCGTACATGCTCAGTTAGTGGCTCACCAGATACTCAACTGAGTATTCACCACAGAATATTCTGACTGGCATCATCTAAATTCCACTGGCAAAGTCCAGGAACATTCACCCACACTTACCCAAGACTCATGGTACAGAACTGTTAGTAGATACATTGCATAATTGTAATTCTGCCTCTTTAAAGGGCACCTTTAAAAGAGGAAGAGGGAGGAAGTCAAAATTCTAGAAACTCAATATATAGAATAATTTGCAAAATATACAATATACTAAAACAGAAGATAACATTTTCAGTAATTCTCTATCCACTTCAAGAAATTCTGCTTAGAATAGTCTGTGCAGCTCATTAATTGAGAATACTGAGTACTGGGGTTACTTTTATCTTTGCTTTCATCACTAATGGAGTTATCTGTACATGATAATAGCTTTAAGCTATTTTTTAACAGGACTGTGTTCAATCCAAGTTCCTTCCACCATCTCAATGCTGAGAATCTACTTGATGGCATGAGCATATCTGAGTTAATTTAAAAATGAGCTAGACAGGTGATACATGCTATTCTAAATGTTAATCTTATTTCTTCAGAACTGATTCTTTTTTAAATGAACTACACACATATACTGTTGCTGCTACATTTATATTTAAAATAGAATTAATAAAGGGGGGGAAAAAGAATTGTAATACCCTAAAATTAAGCACTACTTCTACATATGTATGAGATAGTATACTAAGTTTGTAGGGTAATAAGGTAATATAGAAAAAGAAACAATTGCTTCTAGTTTCTACAAATATAAAACTATTGCATGACAAGTAACTTTAACTGTACTGATTATTCTATACTTGTATTTAATAGTCCTCTGAATAGCTGTTACATGAAACGTGTGTACTGATGTTGTCAACCTAGAGATAAAGCAACCTTATCAGAACTTACATAATTTCAGGAAATAACAAGTTAAAGGTATTTTAAAAGTTGGATAAATTAGAAGTGCAACGTTACCTTGCATTTTCTAAGATACTAAAAGGATTATTCCTAATATATTTCAAATCTATTTCCCTCTTAAGGTAATAATCAGAACCCACAGCTCCTGTGTTTGTCCTGCCTCCACCATGTTCACCACCTCTCTCTGCACACTGTCCTGAGCCTTCTTCCCACCACTAAGACACAGGTTATGAGACCTGATTCTGATGCCTCCAAATCCTTTGAAACTTAGGATGAGAAGGGAGAAAGGAAATCTGCCACTCACTTTTCTCTAAGGGAAGCTCTTTTATATTCTGACACAATTTAGAGGCAACAAGAGTAAATTCTAGAAATAAAATACCCACTTAGTAAAAACATACCAGTAACCTTTCTTTATATCAAATGAAAATCATCTAACTTATAAACTCGTAGTTGGTAACTTTAATATTCTTTTTATAAATGACTATCCTAGCTCTGGAATTTTGCTTATTTACAATGCCTTGACAAATTTTCATATATGCAACTTAGCAATTTAATTTTGAACTACATATCTTGACTTTGTTTTTTAGGATAGGACTAAGGTTTGAACTCAGGACCTCTTGCTTGGGGCAAGAGCTCTACCACTTGAGCTACACCCCAGCCTCCATACCTTAACTTTGTAAAAACCTATTTAAGGGAACACTTATTCTATTTCATATAATGAAGTGCTGTCCCAGTCTAGAATCACAAATAAAGCCAATTAAGAATACAGAAACCCCCACCTATTTAAGCATTAATCACTAGCAAATCATAATCTGTCTTTTTCTAACATCTTCCAAGTTTTACATACATAGGTATATGAAAGCCAGGACTAAAAATAACAACACAACTAAGCAAGTCCTTCTCCATACATAAAGAGAATAGTGAAAGTAGGCTAGTCTGAGGATTTTAAAAATATGTATTGGATACCTTCTCTAATAGAAGTTGATGTAATAAAGGTACTCCTACCTTTTTTCTTGGTGGGACCGAGGCTTAAACTCAGGAGTCTCTGTTTGCGAAACAGGCATTCTACTGCTTGATTATTTTGGAGGTGGGGTCTTGCAAACTATTTCCCTGGGCTAGCCTCAAACCAAGATCCTCCCGATCTTAGCCTCCCAAGTAGCTAGGATTTAGTCTAACCACCATTCCTATCTTAATACGATTTCTCAAAAGAGGCCTACAGGGGATGGAAGACAATAAAGAAACACATGTGAACCGTCTTTCCAATTTTTTTCTTTACCTATCTGTTTTGATGGTAAGTACATCTGTGGTCTTGCAGTATCGTTCTCCTACAAGTTTAATAAATTTCTTCTTTGCATGATCATCTAAATTCAAACTGGAGAGTTTAACCTTAAAAATAAAAGAAAAATATTATTGAATGCATCATTTCATATGATTTGTTAAATTTTGAAAAAGGAAGCAATGTTATCTATATTAACATTAAGCACACTTTTAGACCTTTCTAAACTCCTTTCTATACAAAGTTAGCAGTTAGTACATTATGAAGTCTGATCTTATGAAAAAAAAAAAAGGAAGTGAATATACTGTTTGGAGTTCTTTGAAAGTTCTAAGAATCAGTACCTTCTCTGAAAGAATTGATACATCTCTTAAATAAGTAAAATTATGATGCATCAATAAAATTAAACTCCATTGGTGTTAGTAAAGCTGGACTACAGAAATAACTAGGTAAGATATAGTAGCTTTAAGGACCTGTAGTCCCAGCTACTTGGGAGCAGTGGCTGGAGGCCACTCCTGACAAAGTTAGCAAGAGACCCTACCTGAAAAACAAATTAAAAATAAAAGGACTGGTGCATTCTCAAGAAGTACAGTGCTCATCTAGCAAACACAAGTCCCCGAGGGCCATCCCCACTAGTATCTTTGCCATGCAGTGGTAAGACCTGGATCACTGTAACTGGTTTCAGGGCATTTATTTATTTGTTTAGAGACAGGGTCTTGCTAGGCAGCCTAGGTTGGCCTCAAACTCTTGATCCTCTTGCCTCAGGCACACACCACCACATCTGGCTGGAACATTTACTTTTAAAGCTACAGCTATCTCCTGGAGACTGGAGTATCACATTAGAGAAGGATCAAAACATCTGAAATCAATTTTCAAAAAATAATATTAGCCCCACAGACTGTTAAGAATTTTTTCTTAAGGCTAGGGACAGCTCAGTGGTAGAGGAAATTGCCTAGCATGTACAAGGAATTGGAGTTAATCCCCAACACTGCCAAAAAGTGTCTTTAAAAAGAGCTATTTTTCAAAACACAGTTAGAATATGCTCACTTTAAATTAGGTTCCTACATTTGCTTATTTTTTGAGAGAGGGTCTCACTATGTACTTCAGGCTGGCCTTGAACTCAAGATCCTCCTGCCTCACCCTCCCAAATGCTTAGACTGCAGGTGTATGCCACATCCAGCTCTAAACTGGGTTCTTTACAGTAGTATTTCTTGGAGAATTTTAAATTGTCTTCATTAAGATATATTTGGGGGAAATGCTGGCCTAAATATGCACATTATTTAATCTGAAGAGAATTTCAGCATGGGGTGAAGGTATATCTATCTAGAGATAAACAGATTTGACACTAGAATACAGTTAATTTTGCAAAACATTGTATTAGCCCATTTTTGGTTACTATAAAGAAATACCTGCAGCTGGGTAACCTTATAAAGAAGAGTGGTTTATTTATTCACATTTCTGGAGATTCAAAGGTATGGCACTGGTATCACAAAGACTGAAATTCATACAATAAGTAATGATCATACTGCAAGACAGGAAGCCAGAGAGCAATTCAGGGGTCGGTTTGCTCTTGTAACAACTCACTCTCTAGAGAATTAGATTAGGATCCACAAAAACTGCCCAAATCCCATCCAAGAAGAGCACCCCAGTGGCCAAAGGATTTCCCACCAGGCCCCACCTCTTTTTTTTTTTTTTTTTAACTCAGGGCTTTGTGCTTGCAAAACAAGCTCTACCACTTGAGCCACTCCTCCAGTCCATTTTGTTCTGGTTATTTTGGAGATGGGGGTGTCACAAACTTTTGCCCAGGCTGGCCTCAAACTTGGATCCTCCCTCTCTTAGCCTCCCAAGTAACTAGTATGGAGTGCGGATTATGAGAAACCTATGAGAACTGGATATTAGCAAGGTGAGATGCAGATCAACTGCTTTTCCTAAGATGTTTATCTGTAGGCCGAGAATTGGCACAGCCCCAGCCACAAAAGAGGTAAATGCAGAACAGCTTCCTCCTTCTCCTAAATTGTTTACCTTCAGAGAAGCAGGAACAGGTTTCTCTGGTTACAATGTCACGCCCCTCCCCGCTGCTCCACCCTGTTTACCACTGGATATAAAAGACTCCCTGAAGGAGGACATGAGGTTTTTGCTTTGGGGGATTTTGCTTGTTGGGCTTTTGATGTGGGAGGCTTTGGAAGGGAAAAGAATTGCTGAAGGGAAAGTGCTGGAGGGAGATTGCTGAAGTGAAAAGAATTGCTAAAGAGCAGTTGATAGAAAGTCTGCACCAAGAACTTTATACATAGGCTTTAGAAAAGCTAAGCTAAAGAAAAGCGACAGAGAAGATGGGACATTGCAAGTCTGGGAGCAAAGACTTTAAGAGAGATTATGCTAAAGAAAAGCTAAGAGAAGACATGGGACAGTGCAAGTCTCAGGAAAGAGACTTTAAAGAACAGAAAAGAAGACTTTAAAAGCAGGGTTTTAAGGAAAGACTTAAGAAGCAAGGTTTTAAAGAATTGTAAAAGAGTAAAGCCTTAAAGAATAAAGATAGAGAGAAGCAAGTAAATGAAGAGATTAATAGAGAAAAAGAAGCAATGAGGGTTGTGGGTCTCCAACCAAGCACCCAACACACCTGACCCCACTTTCTGTCTGTCTGTCTATCCTGTGTCTTTTCTGCATCTCCAGTCCCGTGTCACCCCCCACCTCCCCCCGCTCCCCGTTAGGCCCAGTTAGGTTCAGGAATAACCAGGAATGAGAGAAAAAGCTCGCTGTAGCTAGGATTTCAGGCTTGAACCACCACTGCCCCTCTCAGGCCCTACCTCTTAAAAGTCCCATCTGCTACCAATATCACCACTCTGGGGAACAAGTTCCCAACACACGAATCCCTGGGGGACAAATGCAAACCATATTCAAATCACAGCAAGCATAAATTAATTTTCCATGGACAGCGTCAATAATAAGAAAGTTGTAACTCCATGAAGAAGGAAAAAGGCTAAACAGGACTTTTAAATCCCATCTGGTTCTTATCTCTAGCTTCACTAACTCTGCACTTCCCTCAAGACACCACAGCACAGTAGTTTATTTACTTGCCCATTCTCCCCCACTAAACTGTAAGCCTTTGAGAGTGAGAATAATGTCTGTTTTGTTCTTGGCTAGGGCTAAAACTTGAAAAGCATTCAATAAACATCTGCTGAAATGAAAATGTAAATTTTTATAAAGATGTAATTTTAAGTAGTGATTTTCAGCCTGACAGCTAAAATAATCCATTTTATGATAACTGACTACTGGTAACATGGACGATTATTGATATGAAAATAAAAAAATGTACCTACCTTATAACTACATGTATACATACATATGCATGTATGCAGACAGAACAGACAAAAATGACAATTTTTACATTAGAATAGTGAAAAATAGTGATTTTTCCTTTTAAAATTCTCTTCAATGAAATCCAAATATTTAACAATACACTAAAATTTTTAAACTTTTTGCATGTCCCAGGTTTTTATGCAAGTGGTCAAATGTGGCAGTGATGCTGATTCTTATCGTAACAACTTCTTTACCACTCATTCACATTAACATAACTGCACAGTTTATGCCAGAAACTCATGAACAGCTCAGAAACAGTCGTGTGGTGAACTCACACCACCTGCTAGCACTCAAAGGCACTGCAAAATTGTAGTCTTTAATCTGGACAAACACTGGCTCCAAGGTTGAGTGGCATTCATTGTCTTTCTTCACAAAATTCAAGAGCCATTTTTTTTTTCCAAGTTACTATCTTTCAAAGAATAGGGCAAACAATAGGTATTGTGCTATTAACATTATCCCCAAAATAATACTGACATTCGAATCACAGGATACTGTTACATGTGTCTCTCTTTAAATATCTGTTATTAACACAAAAGACCTACACAAAATTGAGAAATGTCTAAGCACATGGAATATCTTATCTAGGTTGCAAATATGGTGTTAAAGAGGTCTGGTGTTACACATACGACAAGACACAGTTTGATTTCTAGGTTTGCCTCTTGTTAATGTGACTCAAATCATCTTACCTCACAAGACAAGGTTTCCTCAGGACGATTTAACACACAGGACTTTTGTTAGTAATAAATCACATTAACAGAAGAAAGCACTTTACAGATGTAAGGTAGGTTTTTTGTTGTTGTTGTTTGTTTTTTGCAGTCCTGGGGTTTGAACTCAGGGCCTCATGCTTACTAGGCAAGCACTTGGGTCTTGTGTTTTTGCCCAGCCAGCCTGGGACTGCATCCGCCCACGTAGGTGGGCCCACAGGCATGCACCACCATGTCCAGTTGAGATGGGGGGGGTCTCACTGACTTTTTTGCCCAGGCTAGCCTAGAACTGTGATTTCCCAGTCTTCAACTGTTCTGTAGCTAGGATTATAGGCATGAGCCACCACACTCAGCAAACATAAGGTGCACTTACTTCTGACACTACTTCATGATTACTGAGAAAAACAAAACCACTTTCCTTCTCTGGATCTAAAATGTGTATACCAATTCACCAGGGCAGAGCAGGAGGCAGGACTCAAGGTCCTAGTGCCTCACTGGGTTCCTCAGTGCCCCAGGCTTCCCATGCCAAGACCTACAGCAGGGATCTACATCAGAAGCTGGAAAAACATTTCAAGATGGAAAACATACAGTATGAATAAATGTCAGGAACAGACAAATTCATAAAGACAGAGAGTAGATTAGTGGTTAACAGGTATCTGGGGATTCTTGAGAAGGGGTAAATTGACAGTGGCTGCTAATAGGATTTCTTTTTGTGGTGATGAAAATTTCTGGAGTTAGTACTAATCATTGCACAACTTTGTGAGCATACTAAAAACTACTAAATTTCACTCTTCAAAGAGTGAATTCTGTAGTACATGAATTACATCTTAATAAAGCTATAATTTAAAAAAATGAAAATATAAAAGAAACCAATACACCATCAAAATGGGCAAACGACAAAAGTAAGCATTTTGCAAAGGAATAAATTCTCAACCACACTAGTACTAAATTTTATGTCTGAATACTACGAGGTTGACAATTTATCTCTTTGCAAAACATTTATTTTTAATTACAAACATTTAACCTTGTGAATGTACAGAAAAATAGGCTTTCTCTACAATCTACTAGTGTATTGTCTTTTATACTTTTAAGCGTGAAGCCCTGAGTTCAAACTCCAGTTCCATGCAAAAAAGAAAACTGTTGAGGTTGAGGGTGTAACTCAAGTGGTAGAGGACATGCCTAGCATGGACTGAGGGGGAGAGGGAGGAAGAAGAGAGGAAGGGAGGAAAGAAGGGAGGAAGGAAGCAGAAAGGAAGGGCAACCTTGAAACCTCTTTTTAATTTTTGAGATAAAAAGTTTCACTATGTAGTCCAGGCTGGCCTCAAACTTGTGAACCTTCTGTCTCACCCTCCTGTGAATGCTAGAACTGCAGGTATGAGCTACGACACCTGGCAAAAGGAAACTATTAAAAATCCAATGTCCATAACATGAGTAACTTAATAACATTATGACAGATCTAAGCTGTGACATTATTTGTATCTCCCATTTCAGTTTTAGAAAAAGAATTATATTAGAATTGTTCAACAATGCATCCCCATGGGCTAGAGATGTAGCTCAGCGGTACAGTGCTTGCCTTGCCTTCCGAGTGTAAGGCTCGGAAAACCAAAAAACCCCACACCCTCAGCTTCAAATACTGTTTCGAATAGATGCTCACTTATATATTATGTAGGCATTACAAGTAAAATTAAAGAATATTTAATAATATTTGGAAATGTTTAATTCTTATTAAGAGTAAAAGAAAAGATTACTAAACACATCTAACAGCATTCCATTAAAATACACAAAGGCTGTCTGTATATACAATAAAATGAGCTACTGCTGTTAACTGAACTTATTTCTGAGTGGTATATTTTTAGGCAATTTTATCCTGTAATTTAAAATTTTCATATTTTCTACAACAAACATGTATTAAGTTTTGTAGTCACATACAAAATGCATTTTGATATAATGCACTACAATGATTGTTGTTTTTTAAAAAATCTCTTACCCTCAGGGTTACTACTCGAGCTTTGGGGTTTCGAATAGATGGTCCTGATGAGACATAATCAGCTGTGTCGATTTCAATTGGAAAACGCTTGTCACATTTCTCATCACTGCTAAGTCCAGCTGGCCACTGAGTGCAAAAATCTTAGAATTTAAAAAAATGATCTCAATTATTCTTTTGCAAGTAAATTCTCATTGCAATGCATGCTAATACACAATACCCTAGTAGTGACACCACTCACAGGTCACACGCAAAAGCACAATCTCGCTTGCATGCCACATACACAGCGTCACCTCTCACCTCTTTTTCTTAGTTACATCCTAGTTAGGGAATTTAATCAAGAGAATGATTTGAGTATTTTAGGTTGAGTGGGGAGTAGTATGTTCAGTTAAAGGGAACTATGGGGCTGGAGGTGTAGCTCTGTGATAGAGTGCATGCTTTACTTGCATGAAGTTCAATTACCAACACCAAAATTTAGAATAAAAAAGAAAGGCCCTGGTGGCTCACACCTGTGATCCTAGTTAACCAGGAGACAGAGATCAGGAAGATCATGGTTTGAAGCAAACAGTCCGAGAGACCCTATCTCAAAAAACCCATCACAAAAATAGGGCTGGTGGAGTCGCTCAAGATGTAGGCCCTGCAGGAGTAGCAATACTTATCTCTGACAAAGTAGACTTCAAACCTACATTGATCAAATGAGATAAAGAAGGACATTCCATACTAATAAAAGGGGAAATAGACCAAAAGGAAATAATAATTATCAACCTGTATGCACCCAATGTCAACGCACCCAATTTCATCAAACATACCCTGAAAGACCTAAAAGCATATATAAACGCCAACACAGTGGTTGTGGGAGACTTCAACACCCCATTATCATCAATAGATAGGTCATCCAAATGAAAAATCAATAAAGAAATCCAAGATCTAAAATATGCAATAGATCAAATGGACCTACTTGATGTCTACAGAACATTTCATCCAACTTAACACAATATACATTCTTCTCAGCAGCCCATGGAACCTTCTCCAAAATAGATCATATCCTAGGGCACAAAGCAAGTCTCAGCAAATATAAGAAAATAGAAATTATACCATGCATACTATCTGATCACAATGCAGTAAAAGTAGAACTCAACAACAAAAGTAAAGACAAAAAATATGCAAACAGCTGGAAACTAAATAACTCATTACTTAATGAACAATGGATCATCGATGAAATAAAAGAGGAAATTAAAAAGTTCCTGGAAGTCAATGAAAATGAAAACACAACCTACCGGAACCTATGGGACACAGCTAAGGCAGTCCTGAGAGGAAAGTTTATACCATGAGTGCATATATTAAAAAGACTGAAAGATCCCAAATCAATGACCTAATGATACATCTCAAACTCCTAGAAAAACAAGAACAAGCAAATCCCAAAACAAATAGAAGGAGAGAAATAATAAAAATAAGAGCTGAAATCAACGAAATAGAAACCAAAAAAACCATACAAAGAATTAATGAAACAAAAAGTTGGTTCTTTGAAAAAATAAACAAGATCAATAGACCCCTGGCAAACCTGACTAAAATGAGGAGAGAAAAAACCCAAATTAGTAGAATCAGGAATGCAAAAGGGGAGATAACAACAAACACCATGGAAGTCCAGGAAATCATCAGAGACTACTTTGAGAACCTATATTCAAATAAATTTGAAAATCTTAAAGAAATGGACAGATTTCTAGATACATATGATCATCCAAAACTGAACCAAGAGGAAATTAATCACCTGAATAGATCTATAACACAAAATGAAATTGAAGCAGCAATCAAGAGTCTCCCCAAAAAGAAAAGTCCAGGACCTGATGGATTCTCTGCTGAATTCTATCAGACCTTTAAAGAAGAACTGATACCAACCCTCCTTAAACTGTTCCACGAAATAGAAAGGGAAGGAAAACTGCCTAACACATTTTATGAAGCCAGGGTTACACTTATCCCAAAACCAGGCAAAGACACCTCCAAAAAGGAGAACTATAGGCCAATCTCCTTAATGAACATTGATGCAAAAATCCTCAACAAAATAATGGCAAACTGAATTCAGCAACACATCAAAAAGATTATTCACCACGACCAAGTAGGCTTCATCCCAGGGATGCAGGGGTGGTTCAACATACGAAAATCAATAAACGTAATAAACCACATTAACAGAAGCAAAGACAAAAACCACTTGATCATCTCAATAGATGCAGAAAAAGCCTTTGATAAGATCCAACACCATTTCATGATAAAAGCTCTAAGAAAACTAGGAATAGAAGGAAAGTACCTCAACATTATAAAAGCTATATATGACAAACCTACAGCCAGCATTATACTTAACGGAGAAAAACTGAAACCATTCCCTCTAAAATCAGGAACCAGACAAGGATGCCCACTATCTCCACTCCTATTCAACATAGTACTGGAATTCCTAGCCAAAGCAATTAGGCAAGAAGAAGGAATAAAAGGAATACAAATAGGTAAAGAAACTATCAAAATATCCCTATTTGCAGACGACATGATCCTATACCTTAAAGACCCATAAAACTCTACTCAGAAGCTTCTAGTCATCATCAATAGCTATAGCAAGGTAGCAGGATATAAAATCAACATAGAAAAATCATTAGCATTTCTATACACTAACAATGAGCAAACTGAAAAAGAATGTATGAAAACAATTCCATTTACAATATCCTCAAAGAAAATCAAATACCTAGGTGTAAACCTAACAAAAGATGTGAAAGACCTCTACAAGGAAAACTATACACTTCTGAAGAAAGAGATTGAGGAAGACTATAGAAAGTGGAGAGATCTCCCATGCTCATGGATTGGTAGAATCAACATAGTAAAAATGTCGAAACTCCCAAAAGTAATCTACATGTTTAATGCAATTCCCATCAAAATTCCAATGACATTCATTAAAGAGATTGAAAAATCTACCATGAAATTTATATGGAAACACAGGAAGCCACGAATAGCCAAGGCAATACTCAGTCAAAAGAACAATGCTGGAGGTATCACAATACCTGACTTCAAACTATATTACAAAGCAATAACAATAAAAACAGCATGGTACTGGCACAAAAACAGACATGAAGACCAGTGGAACAGAATAGAGGATCCAGATATGAAGCCACACAACTATAAGCAACTTATCTTTGACAAAGGAGCTAAAAATATACGATGGAGAAATAGCAGCCTCTTCAACAAAAACTGCTGGGAAAACTGGTTAGCAGTCTGCAAAAAACTGAAACTAGATCCATGTATATCACCCTATACCAAGATTAACTCAAAATGGATCAAGGATCTTAATATCAGACCACAAACTCTAAAGTTGATACAGGAAAGAGTAGGAAATACTCTGGAGTTAGTAGGTATAGGTAAGAACTTTCTCAACGAAACCCCAGCAGCACAGCAACTAAGAGATAGCATAGATAAATGGGACCTCATAAAACTAAAAAGCTTCTGTTCATCAAAAGAAATGGTCTCTAAACTGAAGAGAACACCCACAGAGTGGGAGAAAATATTTGCCAGCTATACATCAGACAAAGGACTGATAACCAGAATATACAGGGAACTTAAAAAACTAAATTCTCCCAAAACTAATGAACCAATAAAGAAATGGGCAAGTGAACTAAACAGAACTTTCTCAAAAGAAGAAATTCAAATGGCCAAAAACACATGAAAAAATGCTCACCATCTCTAGCAATAAAGGAAATGCAAATTAAAACCACACTAAGATTCCACCTCACCCCTGTTAGAATAGCCATCATCAGCAACACCACCACCAACAGGTGTTGGCGAGGATGCGGGGAAAAAGGAACCCTCTTACACTGTTGGTGGGAATGTAAACTAGTACAACCACTCTGGAAAAAAATTTGGAGGCTACTTAAAAAGCTAAACATTGATCTACCATTTGATCCAGCAATACCACTCTTGGGGATATACCCAAAAGACTGTGACACAGGTTACTCCAGAGGCACCTGCACACCCATGTTTATTGCGGCACTATTCACAATAGCCAAGTTATGGAAACAGCCAAGATGCCCCACCACTGACGAATGGATTAAGAAAATGTGGTATCTATACACAATGGAATTTTATGCAGCCATGAAGAAGAACAAAATGTTATCATTCGCTGGTAAAGGATGGAATTGGAGAACATCATTCTGAGTGAGGTTAGCCTGGCCCAAAAGACTAAAAATCGTATGTTCTCCCTCATATGTGGACATTAGATCAAGGGCAAACACAACAATGGGATTGGACTTTGAGCACATGATAAAAGCGAGAGCACACAAGGGAGGGGTGAGGATAGTTAAGACACCTAAAAAACTAGCTAGCATTTGTTGCCCTTAACACAGAGAAACTTAAGCAGCTACCTTAAGAGCACCTGAGGCCAATAGGAAAAGGAGACCAGGAACTAGAGAAAAGATTAGATCAAAAAAATTAACCTAGAAGGTAACACCCACGCGCAGGAAATCAATGTGAGTCAATGCCCTGTATAGCTATCCTTATCTCAACCAGAAAAAACCCTTGTTCCTTCCTATTATTGCTTATACTCTCCCTACAACAAAATTAGAAATAAGGGCAAAATAGTTTCTGCTGGGTATTGAGGGGGTGGGGGAGAGAGGGAGGGGCCGGAGTGGGTGGTAAGGGAGGGGGTGGGGGCAGGGGGGACAAATGACCCAAGCCTTGAATGCACATATGAATAGTAAAAAAAAAAAAAAGATGTAGGCCCTGAGTTCAAGCCCCAGTACTGGAAAAAAAAAAGTAAGGAGAGAGACTGTGCCTTGATGGCAGTGTACTATGGCTCTGCATATATTATGGGATAGTTTAACTGCTCCCTACCAATTAAAGAAAATAGTTCAGTGCCCAGAGAATTATTATTTATGAAAGGTGACAGATAATATTAATTCACTCTCAAATGAAGGTTACTAGTAAAGATCAGCTGAAAGGAATTGAAAGAAGCCCTGGAAAAGCTCTAAGAGGTAACTGAAGTGTGGTCAGGAAATCTTTCAGAAATTGAGTTACAGAAAGCCTCATCTTGAGGGGAGGAAGGAGAGGGGTTAAGAAAGAGTAATAATAGCTGGTGGAGTGGCTCAAGTGGGAGAGCACCTGTGTAGCAAGC